CAGGGTCCCAGACTAACATTTTTCACCATCACCCTGGAACTGCCCCAAAGAAATTTTAAACTGTCCCAAAATAAAAATGATTTTTTTATCTTTATAATTAGTAATTGCTAGTAGAATAATAAAAGCACAGTGTGTGTGAATTAAAATTTTAAAAAAGCTAAAATATTATGTTTTTAAAATGAATAAACTTAAAAACAAATTAGTTTGTAATTTTTCAAAAAATCACAATTTTATTTAAACATTTTGGTTAAATCCATTTGAATAATTTTATATGGAAATGTTCTTATTAATTTTCATGTTCAGAGGAACATTTACCAAACTTGAAGAATTGTGCTCTCTGCATTCATTTTCTGTGTAAACAGCATTAGCACATTCCAACACTTCATTATCAAAAATTTTCTAAAGTCATTATAAAAACATTTTTTTTTTTACAATTACCTGCTTTGCATTGTGACTAAATCAACTGCTTTTATCATTTTTTAAAGTTTTTGTATTTTCAATTTAGTTTCTGATAAGCAGAAACTATAACACAAAAATACTGTTTGTTAATCGATCATAGAAGGTTGTTTTCTTTTTTTTTTTAACTCTGTTATTATACAATAGCATTTAATAAAGTATATCAAAAAGAACTGCTGAAACTTCTAGGTAACCTTGGCATATTTGGGAAGGATATTAGAATAATCCAGGACATATACTGACAGCAAACTGCCTGCATACAGATAGAAAATGAGTTCAGTAAATATACAAAAATAGAAAATGTTATAAGACAAGAATGCATCTTCTCACCAGACCTTTTCAACCTATACTATGAGGCAATTCTGAGAGAATTACAAGTCCTATTGGGATTCATTATTTTCAGCCACATTCTTAACAACACGTGTTAAGCAGACATAGAAAGTAAACTACAAAAACTATGGAAGGTGGTGAAGGAAAGGACTAGATATCTCTAAGTCCTGAATGCATGGTTGTTAGTAAAGGTAGCCAAAATCAAACAGGTGCAACAATTTAGATATCTGGGAAGCGTTTTAACAAAGGAGGGAAAGTGTGACATGAAGATCCAAATAAAATTTCTGCATTGGAATAGTAAAAGATATCTTCCAAAAGCTAAGCACACTATTTTATTAGAAACAAAGAAAAGAGTACTGAACTATTAAATAATATCAGTTCTCCTATATGGCAGGGAATGATGGACAATCTCCTCACAGATGAAGAGACTTGAAGCAATAGAAATGTGGTTCTACAGAAGGATGATGAGAATACCATGGCTTGAAAATGTGAGAAATAGCAAAGTTCTAGAGACAATGGCAACAAAAAGGACACTTAACATCAGAAAAAGAAAGTTGAAATTTCTGGGGCACACACAAGCTGTCAATTGTCTGGAAATCTGTTCTGCAGGATAAAATGAAATAAGACTTCTTCCAAGCCATATTTGTATCTGTCTTGCTCTATGATAGTGTAATTAGTGTACTGTAATTAGCAAAAAAATGTTTGACAAGTGGAATTGACAAAGTTTCCAATAAACAATAAAAAAAATGATGAAAAAGAACAGCAAAATAATACTAAGCATACAATATATACATGGTACGATGGATAAATTATCGTCTAAATTATGCAAGAATGAAATTAACACTGAAATCTCATTTAAACAGATATCAGTCAATCTCTCTCACACACACATGCACACACTCTCCCTCTCAAAAAGACATGTAGTAAACAAACAACTTTTATCAAATCTGCTATAAAAATGCTCAATTCAATCTCTCTCTCTCTCTGTATATATATATATATATATATATATAGTCATCTAAATTATGCAAAAATGAAAATAACACTGACATCTCATTTTAACAGATATATTTACCAAAATTACATAAAAATATCTTCAAATGCTATCACCACTGACCTCAACTCCGCCCTCCATACAACTTCGGAATCTCCTGCCTTCATGTTTAAGTTGATTAATACGACCATAATCCTTGCTTTCAGTTCATCTTTGTTGTTACAAAGAGTTTTCTTGGTCTCTTGCTCAACTGTGCTTCAAACATCATAATCAAGGTCATTTCAGCCTGGGGAGTTAGATGTAAGGGCTGATGTGGTCGCAGAAATTGTTTGGCAGCCACAACTAGGTTCTTCTGCTAGTGTGACATGGTGCAAAGTCCTGTTGCCAGACACAGGGTCTTCCAGCAGCCACCCTCTTGACCCAGGGTAGCACTACCTCCTCAAGGAACTTTATGTAGACCTTTGTGTTGAGTCTGAGGATCTATGAGAAGATGGAAGGAGTGATCACTCCAAACACCATGATGTTGACTGGATATTTGGTTTTCATCACTTTCAGTACATCTTTTGGCGATACAGTAAGTCAATGGTTATTCTGTGTGTTCACCATTTTATATGTTTGGTTTGAGGGGATGCTTGAGTTTGTTCAAAAGCTTTGTAGCATTGTCTTTCCTCTTGTCCTTTATGTCTTGGGATAAAAATTGGCCATTTCTCATCTTGTATGAGAAATATTGAATGTCTACATGCACTACCTGCCTGATGGGTGCTCTTTTCTTATCAGAATGATCAGAGTGAGTTTTTCGAGCTGCTGTATCTTCATAATCATCATTAGACTCACCCAACTCTTTTTGAGTCCCCTGCACTGTCCTTAGATTGACAGCCAAACACTCTGAAATGTTCTAATCGGAGCTCCTGGTTGAATGCAAAGCAGTACAGTATGCCGTTTCCAAATTTCTGGCAGACTGAATTGGATCATAGTGCTCTTTTTCTCACAGATGTTGCCCAACTGACCCTACTATACTGTGCAGTTGACAAAATAAAAAACAACACTCATGCTCAAAATTAAAAATATAAAATGGTGTCAATTTACCCATCATACTCTGTATATGTAAGTCAGTACTAGGCAAAGCAACAGTAATAAGGTAAAAAGTTCACAAAGTAAGAATTCTGTTCTCACACACAAGGGATACAGTCAAGTGACTGTAGCATCCTGTTTCAAGACAAGAAAGAACTAAAATATGGAGAATATGACCAAGAAGTTGTCTATTTTTATTGATTATGATGTTCCAGTATGTGTCTGTAGGGTTTGTCTATAAATTTGGGGAAGGGAATGTTTTTAGTAGTTATTCCCCTTGAATTAGAACCAAATAATAGCACTGCATGGACATTAAAAAAATGATTGGAAAAGCAGCTAGATAAGCATATAAACAAGATTTCAATGATATCTCCCACCCATTCATATGTCATTTGAGAGAGAAGAGCAAGATTTGCAAGGCATTCCTGGAAAAGTAAGGATGAACTTATCAGTGACATTCTGTTGCGGACATTAAAACATGGACACACTATTCCAAGTGTGCTAACAATGATAGGTGCAATTGTCATTTTTTGACACTGGAATCTGTAAGTGGATTGCTATAGCCAAAGGTGCCTTCCAAAACCTAAGCAGAGTATTAAGAAATAGAAAAACTTTGCTTGAAACAAGGAAAAGAGTGCTAAACTGTTACATATCTGTCTTTCTGTATGGCAGTGAGTGCTGGACAATCTCTTCAAAAATTCTTCAGTCAACGGAAATGACACTGGATAATGTGTGTGACTTCAAAAGGGGATGACTTCAAAAGGATATTAAAAGCTGGATTTATATGTTGTAGTTTTCTTTTTATAGCACCAGTCCTGATGCTTTTTGTTCAGATCTTGTAAATCCAATATGTATTGTATTGAAGTGTAAATATACTTCCTCATTGAAACATTAGTGTGGATTTGACACACATCAACCCAATTCAAATAAAACTAAATATAAATATGTTTTCTACCAAATCATGATAGTGACTTTATTCATTAATTGATATTTCACAATCACTGGTATTAGTATAACTATATTTGCTTTGTATCTACCTCAGTCTGTTTGTATCAATCTATCTATCTACTTAACTAGTTAGATAGATAGTCACTTTATATATAAACATGTTCATTTTTTTTAAAATCATTTCCCTCTAAATAAGGCAATAAAACCATACAATGAGTTACTGAGAGAGTAAGGAGCACAGATAGCAATAAAAAGACAAGATTCAAGGATACAGAAATAGCAAGTGACATTGCATTTAAATTTTTTAAGTTCGTAATTAAGCTAAGCAAGTTAAGAAACAGGAGAATTAAGAAACAAAGAAAAGAGTACTGGACTGTTATTTAATATCAGTCCTCCTCTATGACACTGAGTGCTGGACAATCTACTCAAAGACAAAGAAGAGACTTGAAGCAAAAGAAATGTGGTTCTACAGAAGAATGATGAGAATACCATGAATTCAAAGTAGGAGCAACAACAAAGTTTTAGAGAAAATGGAAACAAAAAGGAATCTTATAATTATTATCAGAAAGGGAGGCTTTGAATTTCTAGGTTGCATAATGAGGAAAGAGGGCTTGGAAAATCTGGTACTCTCATGACAGATTCAAGGCAAGAGGGACAGAGGAAAACCATGCATAACATACTTAGTGAGCTTGAATAAATGGATGGTGGGACAAGGTTTTGAAGAAATAACAAAAAGACAAAATTTATTTAAAACTACAAAGGACAGGAAGATGTGGAGAGCCATGATCGCCTATGTCCTGAGGGAATGCAGTACTTAAAGAAGATGACAGTCTAGATATTTCCTTGGCTTTCACTTTCTTTCAATTTTACTCTATTGGCAGAACAAAATTGATTATTTGAATTTTTTTTTCACCTTGTTTAAAATAACTGGATCTGGTCATTTGGCCTGGACTGGGAAATTTGCTTTAATTTTAAAATCCTGGAGAATTTTATTTTATTTCTGCCTCTGAGACAGGTTCTAGTTTGTGTACATTGATTTTTTGGTCAAATCCTGGCTGATTCCATTGAATCCCATCCCCCAACCCAGTCATGCATATCTATATATTCTCTCTGGGCCAACATGTTACAAATTTCTTATTATGAGTGATGATATCAGTTGTTATTATCATTATTATTATTATTATTACATTTATTTTTCCAGTTCAAGTCAGGACAAGGCAAAAGCAGAGTCACGCTTGATTCAACTTGGATATCGTCCTGTGGGTAATCGTCCTGGGTCTGGAAGTAAGAGTCCTTACCACACATCTTCCAACACATCCCCACATAGGTACCAGCAGAAGGGGCACAGCAGTGGCTCAAGGGAAAGCTCTCCACTCAACCATGCTAACAGAAACAACATCTCCAATTTGTCTCCACACCACACTGGATCACCAAGTCGGTCTCCTAGGCAACTCTCCCCAAAGCGTTCATACTCACCCAATAAATCGTCCCCTCCAAAAAGAAGTCCATCTCCATCTGCTTACCCGGCAGGACCAAGTGAAGCAGAAAAAGAAAGATGTAAGTAAATTTCTGTATCTTTCTCTTTTTTTTTTTTTTTTTTGAATCATCACCATATTTTTTATTTATTTTTTTTTTTTTTAGATATTTCTGTTTATCCACTTGTAATATGTTAATGGCATCTAATAAGAATAAAGAGATTAAATTTTTCATAAATTTCATAATTGTTTATTTACTTCTGGATTCAATCAAATTAACATCAGCAACTGATGTATATGGCTTTGGGGACTTTTTTGAATGTCAAGCTTTTTCTCCTGAAGATACGAGATATAGACATTCAATGTGACCCTTACCCAAGCATTCCACCAATTGGCCAATGATTACCCAACATTGAATTTCGATTTCTCAGTGTTTTGCATCAAAAGCTGGGAAAAGGCCTGCTGCTACACACAATGTAACAAGATGAATGACAAATGCCACATCAAGGAACCCCATTTCCTATATTATAAAATAGGTTATTTTTTTATTCAGGGCTTCACCTGCTCATCATGGCGGCTATCTAGGTGACAATTTCTGTCATGTTGATTTAAGCATTCAGCTCTTCTCCCTACCAACTCCTTGCACATCTACTCATCCCAACTTAATGGATGGCAAGACGAATGATGACACAGGAATCACACAACAGACAAGTTCATCTCCCACCAAGGGTGGACCAGAACTCTCCCTAATCCCAAGCATGACTGTTAATATAAACCAGCATTTCCGGTTTTATTACCACTTGATCTCTAAAAGTCCTTCATCTACCTCTTTACTTCCATGTTATCCTTTGGTCAGAGTGGATACCGCTTAGAAATCCAGACTTCAAAAAGGATCCATCCACTGGTCTATTAAACAGAAACACTTAAAATCAAGATAAAACTACTTCTTCACTTCCCACATGAATGTCAGTAATATCAAAAATGGTCACAGTTTCATGGGTCAGGCATTTCTGTTACTTCTTTTCATCCAGTAGTCTTGTGTGTGTATATCTAAAGTTCACTTCATGTTTATGTTGGCACACCAACTGACAACCTTTGGAGGCCCGAATCTGCACTTGGTGGTTATGAGGTTACCTTCTAAGTCAACCTTTGGAGCCCTTAAATCTTTTGACATTTTGAGGTAACACCAACTACAGAACTTAGTTTGGTATCTCTAAGGGTACATAAACCATATATTGAAGTCGCCGCAGATCAACTCTTAAATTATTAAATTTGATTCTGACTTCTGGTATTTTACCTTATTCAACCTTCATCACGTGTGCAGCATTTCTGATAAACTCTAAGAGAATTTTAAATTTAATCCCTTATTTCATTCACAGGAAATATCCATGTGCTTCATTTCTGATCAATCTTATTGTAATTTATCAACTTGTATTATAGTTACTGGACATGATAAGCACACTTGATATACTTCAGCAAATGCACCAACCAAAATGTGTGGAAATAATGTTGAAATTCACATATGTATTGTCAATACTTATTTATCTTAGGAAAGAAAAAAATAGTATCATGTTAAAAGCACATCAGATCTAATGATGGTTTCTCCTGCAAAGGGGGATGCAGGTTCAAATCCTGCTGGAGTGTACATTTTTCTTTCATAAGATTTCTCAAATATTGTTCATCTAATACTGTTTAAAAAATAAACAGAGTATCTACTCAAATATGGGTATCCACTAAAGATAACATTGAAAGTCATAAAAATATGCCAGATTAATAAATAGAAATCCATTACTACTTTAGAAATAGCTTTGTTTATGTTTTGGATATGAAGCTGGGCAGTTATGAACTTTTTATAAGAAGGATGTACTTAAAAGGCAATGTACAACCTTGCTTAATCCTGATGGTCTTTGTGGTCGAGATGGTTAAAGCATGTTGGACCTAATGATGGTTTCTCCTCAAAAGGGGCACACAGGTTTGAACTGTGCTGGAGGACACATTTTCTTTAACAAAATTCCTCAAATATTCAAGCTGATAGACAAAATAAAATACTGTAAGTAGAGCATTTACTTAAATATAGGTATTCACTAAATATAACTTTTTCTTTTTTTTTTAAATCGGAGAGCTGAGTTCCAATTCCAGTTGGATTCATTATATTTGCACAAATACCCTTAGGAAAGGTATCAGTCCACCTCTTCTCTCACTAGCTATAGGTTAACTAGTAAGACTATCACTAAATCAATATTATCTCAAAAAAAAAACTTCTTACAATCTAAAAATATTCTCTAACCTAAAAAGGGTTAAGCCATAGAAAATGAATCAATCAATCTGGTCTCAATAAGAAGAAAATTATTTCTTCTGTTCACCCAAAAGTGAACAAAGCTTTAATGATGCTTATCGACATGTGTCATGCAGAATTTAAAATTCTCTTTTCTTGAAACTGAAACTATGCCAACAAAATGAAGAATGACTGCAAAATTTCCGCATTTCTCGAAAACTCAGCTAATTACTTGGACATTAAAAAGCTCATAATTATTATGAATTTGTATCCACCCATGATACATAAAGCATTGTCAATTCATTGTTATTCATTTTTCACTAGTACTTTTTTATCTTCATTTCAATTGTTTTTATTCCCACTAGTAGTAATATTATTTGAATTTTATTATTATTAGATGAAGCCTTGTCAATTCTTATTCATCTTTCACTAGTATTTCTTTCATCTTCATTTCAATTGCTTTATTTCCACTAGTAGTATTAGTAGTAATATTATCTTGAATTTTATTATTATTAATATTAGATGAAGCCTTGTCAATTCTTATTCATTTTTCACTAGTATTTCTTTCATCTTCATTTCAATTGCTTTATTTCCACTAGTAGTATTAGTAGTAATATTATCTGGAATTTTATTATGATTATTAGATGAAGCCTTGTCAATTCTTATTCATTTTTCACTAGTATTTCTTTCATCTTTTATGTAATGTATCTTAAAATAGATATATCTGTTAATAAATTCAAAGGATTTATTTTGCCCTTGGTGTACAGATTTACTTCTGAGTACATAAGTCTTTGAACTTTTTATTTATTTATTATATGTTTCTTATTACTGTAAAGAATATTTTTTATGGGGGACATGTATTTGAATTACTATCCCAGTCTTTTTATTTTCTTAAACAGTGAAATTAATAAAAACTGGCCTAGATTGTGAAGTCCTACTAAAAAAAAGACTGCGCCTCCAACAAGAATTGAACCTGAAACCCCTTTTCCACCATGGAAACTGTTTCTATAGCTGAAACATGCCTTTACTAATTTTGCTACAGAGACCACACTGACAAAGCAGTTTGAATTACTTCTTTAAGGAATTCATATTTCTGGTTGATACATCTACAAATCTATATTTACTAGCTTCAATTTCATATTGGAAATGTCAGCAACAATAATGTTGTATAAAATTCCATGAAAAAATATATATATATATATATATATATATATATATATATATATATATATATATATATATATATATATATATATATATATATATATAAAATATAAATTCAACCGATAAAATCTCCCTGTTTTCTAATTTTTGAGTAATATCTACACTGGGATGAAAAATATGGATAAACTGTACAAACAATATTAACTGAGATCGTTAAAAGTACTTGGACAAAATCTAAACAAAACCATGAACTTTGGACAGTTTATCCACAATTTTGATTTGGATGTATATTCTTAATTCACAAATTGGAAGAATTAAAGGAGAGATGATGCCATAAATTATACTAACATTATACTATATTCAGAATGCCATAAATTATACTAACATTTGTTTAACAGATTGAATACATGTGAATTTTTTCTATTTCTCAATATTTCATTCTGTGATGAAGCTTTCGTAAAAGTGAAACATGTTAGATTGATAAACCTTTTCTATTTGTACTTTGTTATCATTGTCAGATCCTGATCTGTATTTGATATGAATTCCTAAAAATAATGTTTTAATGTAAACTTTACTCTTTGCTTTCTACATTCTACAGTGTATGAAAAATTTGTTGCTCAGTTTCCCAATCAGCCTACCGCAGTTATTGCAGCTGCTCTGGAAGTTTGTTGTTACAATGAAATGCAAACATTAGCCGTGCTTCAGGCTTCTGGGGATACTGATGACAGGTAAGCATTTTATAAAGACTAATTAAATGTATAACAATGTCAGTGTCAATAAGTGCCTTAGTTTTGTACGTATAGTAATATCTTTAAAACTTCTTTCTTCTACAACCTCTATCCCATAATATCTTCGTTACAAATCCCATAATATCTTCGTTCTTCTTCTACAACCTCTATCCCATAATATCTTCGTTGAAACTTCTTTCTTCTACAACCTCTATCCCATAATATCTTCGTTGAAACTTCTTGCTTCTACAACCTCTATCCCATAATATATTCCTTAAAACCTCTTGCTTCTACAACCTCTATCCCATAATATATTCCTTGAAACCTCTTGCTTCTACAACCTCTATCCCATAATATATTCCTTGAAACTTCTTGCTTCTACAACCTCTATCCCATAATATCTGCATAGGGAAGGTGTACAAGTTGAGCAAGTGGGTACCCGACACACTGTTGAAAGCCAACAAGCAACAATGTGGGACAGCCTGTTTTGTGTTGAGTTCTCGACACTACGCAATACCCATATTTGATCGAGTGCTCAAAAAGTGGATTCTGTATGACACTCCCAAGCATACCAGACATTTGCTGTCACTACGTGACCTTGTGCCGCATACCACAAGACTACCTCTACACCCACACAAGATCATGCCCTGTACCTAGTGGACTAATTGACAAGTGGTGTACTATGAGCTGTGACCAATAGGCCATACCATCACTATGAACCTGTACTTGCAGCATTTGGATCTTGTGAAATAGGCACTGAAGCAGAAGGAGCCAATTTAGGTTAATCACTAAGGTATACTGTTCCTCTATGATAATGTCTGGCCTCATGTGGCATGAGTGGCCATGTATACCATATGGCAATTTGGCTAGTAGACACTGCGCCATTCATCTTACTCCCAGGAACTTGTGCCACCAGACTACCACCTCTTCCATTCCCTGGACAATGTCATGGGAAATCATTTGCAAATGAGGCTGACTTGCAGCAGACACTCACAGATTTCTTTGCATCCAAGACACTTGATTTTTACCACCAAGTATTGCACAGCTTGAGACATGTTGATAAAAGATTCTGGATGTCAATGGGGATTACTTTGAGGACTAAACACTATGTCAAATTTGCTGTATATCTTCTTTTTTTTTTTTTTTTTAAACAAATCAAATGGCAAGGACTTTTTTATTACTTTGTAGTAATAACTTTTACATATGCAAGATGTTTAATTTCATATACACTAGATTTCTTTTAATTGGGCTACCTGGTTATTTGAGCTAAATCTTGAAAGTCTATTTGTAAATGATTTATTTTATCCACCAATTGTTTGATTGGACCATCATGTGGCATTTTGACCAGTCATTGCTGATATCCTTATCACTTAGGACTAGCATAAGTGGTGTTTTAGTCAGTCATAGATGACGCCCTCACCACTTCAGACAGTATCTGCTGCATCTGATTTTAGAGTGTAGGTATCATTTTATGCATCATTTAGTACAAGTAGAATTTCAAACCACTACAAATATGTTATCACATGATTTGTCTCTTGCTTAAAATTCCTCAGAACAAAAAACAAAGAAAACAGCACTCTTAACAGAAGTCAAAAAAGATTGATTTTTTTATTGTTTCTCAACCTTTTGCGGGTTATTTGAAGCCAGAAAATATTTTTAGGTCCTAAGAAATTTTTGCCAATAATAATGATTTACTGATACAAGTCCTACTAATTAACCCATAGCTGGGGAGAGAAGAGGTAGATTCATACTTTTCCCAAGGAAATTCTTCAAATGTCAATGAGTATTAAGGATTACAGTAGGCCTTTTTGTTTTCAATTTTTAAAACATGATTGTCATTCAGGATATAGAAAATCATGTAGTCATCCACAGATTCACTTCTTTATCTGTGAATTGCCTCCTTAGGAAAAAATATTGAAGTAGTTTCTCACTGCCGAATTCAGAGTATTTCTTCTCCTATCCTGTCTGCAAACTAAAACAGGTAAGCTCAGGTTATCTTGCTGTTTAACCTCTTATGCAGGGAGAAGAGACAAAGTCATCCTTTTTCCCAAGATGACTATCCTGGAATTTAAATTCCACACACCAATCCATTCATCTAATAGGTTAGTAGATTAATAAACCTGTATTTTTTCAAACATTATTTTTAGTGGATACCCAAATAGATGCCCAGTTTTTATTTTAAGTTTGTCTATTTCAGATACAAATATTTTTTTTAATCATTTCACCCCAAGCAAGGTAATAAAGCCACTAAGGTGCAAGGGAGGCACTGAGTGTTAGTGAATAGGAGAAACAAAAAGCACTATTAAGGAGAGAGAATAATAAAAAAAAATAAGAAGGCAGATGAGAATTTACATTGCATTTAAATTTTTGAAGATCAATATTGACTTAGAAGAAAGAAGCTGGAAGAAAGATCCACAAGAAAGAAGCGCAACAGAAGAAACTGTCAGCATAGAACTTACAGTTACATCTAGCCATTAAATGATGAGAACTTGCCACTAATCTGGTACACTGCTTTAATTCATAAAGTCTAGCTACCATAAAGGAAGGTTCATCCAAACAATTACCATGAAAGTATTTATAGAAAAGGTACAGGAAAGCTGCATTACGGCACTGGGAAAGTGACTGAAGCCAAGATGCCAGGTTGAAGTAATAAAATGGTTTAAAAATAAATAAATAAACTCTTTATAAATCTATATTATAAAAAAGCAAAAAAAAAAAAATTATTCTCATTATTCTTTCTGGGTATTTATTTTATGATACGAGTCTTGCTAATTAACCCATAGGTGGGAGGAAGTGGTGGATTCATACCTTTCCCAAGGGAATTTGTGTGTAAGTGAATATAACGAACCCAACAGGAATTGGAACTCTGCTCTCCAATTAACAATTATCCATTACACCACCTGCTATTTCCAAGTGGTTACCCACCTAGGTAGTGACCAGGCTCGACATGGCTTATCTTGTGATTGTACAGCAAATGGTGTTTCAATATGATGTGGCCTTAAGCTTTGCGATGATAAAAGAATTTTTGTCTATATTTCTGAGATGAGGTATTGTAACTATTTACACTATTTACATTGTTCATACTGTTGTCTTTATCTGTATTATTGTATATCACCTGTGTTCAGACTGTTGTCCTCATCTTTATTATATATCACCTGTGTTTGGACTGTTGTCATCATCTTTATTATAAATCACCTGAAGAAGGCCAGAGTGTATAACAACTGAAACATGAATATGACAAGGATGAGGAACCTGGTTTCACTTTATAGTATTGAGATGTTGAGTTTTATGGTAACACAAGGCATATTTACTTTGAGTGCCGTTTCACAATGCCTGGTGAGTCCAGATTGCATGACCGATATACAAAATCATTGTTTTATATAATACATGTGATTGACTCTAAAACTGAATTTTGAAACTGTAATTAGCTGCTTACTAGCCTTCTAGTTTGCACCAATGATGTGAATAAAATCTGACACACATGCATCCTTTTTATGCATAACTAAATGTGCAAATAGTGCCATATATTATTGCAACTCAGAGTGAGAAATTGGCATGTTTGAATTCCGGTCAAATTCTTTACATTCTTTTCACTTTCGCACAAATATCCTTTGGAAATGTATGAATCCATCTCTTCTCTACCAAATTATTTGTTAAATAGCAGAGCAGACTGGGCTCTCTAGCTGTAATTGGACAACCAGTCATGGAGAAGGACAACTCTGAATCTAAAACTCATTCATCTCAAGTTGCACAAAGATTGTTAGACATGGAATGGTAATGGTAATATAAGCCATTTCCTTATAAGGAAACATTTGTTATTCATTGATTGAACAGCTAGTTCTATAGTCATTTGAAATTTATAAAATCTTTCTATTAAAACAAATTTTCAGCAAAATAGGTTTCTCAAGTTCACTATTGTCACTCTTTCCAGTATTGATGGGGGCGCTTCCTTCTTAACTTTTTGTTTGAAGTAGTGTAAAACGTCATCTTCTTCTCTTTGAGTGATATGTGATATCCATTTTAGTTGTTCCAGTTGTAGAAAATTCTCCAGTGATGTGGTATCTGCTATTTGGTATGGTTCTTTGTTTGTGATTCTTTCGTGCCAGTTCACATGATTCAAAGAAGTATGGTTCACAATAAAGCTTCATTCATTCAAAGTCACTTTTAATCATTGCTCTGAGAAAGTAGTTGTATACATCTGATGGTTTAGATATTTCTGAATGAATTTGACAATATACATGACATCAATATGAAAGTCTTGATCTCAATAAGACTAAAGTTTTGGGGTTATTGTTTTGATTTTGTAGCAACGTTGCGCTGTGAAAAACTACACCTAGTGCAACCTGTTCTATCGATTTACACTATTTACATTGTTGTCTTCATCTTTATTGTCATACTCAAAGTGTTTCGACCATTGTATACAACAGCCTTCTTCAGGTGATATATGTTGAAATTTCGAACTGAACCCTTTATTTAGTCCATGGGGGCAGATTGTTCTAGTTCCACATGCCATACCTTTTCTGGATATCTCATTTTTCAGTTAATTCCCTTTAGTAACTCAACTCTCCAAGTTTTTGTTCACTTCTGTTGTGGCCAGGTATTGAACTGACAACTCTTTGGGTCAAGTCATTTTTGAATTACTTCAACCAATGCTTTTATCTACTGGACCATGAATGAATTTTTGGAACTTATAAACTTAATGTCTCAGTAACCGTTTTTTACCAGAGCTCATATTACAATTTTTGTTATTGTTTTTTCTCTAGCTTTCTGTATTACTAGTCCCTATATTGTATTCATGTCTATGCTTGGCTGGCTTAGAAGAAGGCTGGAACATGCAATAGCCGAAACATTGTGAATATGACAATAAAGATGAGAACAATAGTCTAAACAATGTAAATAGTGCAAAATAGTTACAATCTTTCATCTCAGAAATATAGACAAACCTATCCTATGTTTAATTTCTTTATCTCCCATACTAACTTTGTGATAACTGATCCATATAGCACTAGTCGGGGAAGTTTGAAATTAATACTAGCACAAGCCCCAGGCACTACCTCTCCTTTGGAAGATGGCTGGGGTCATTATCTGGCACCTGAGACATCCCCAAAAGGGAAATTGCCAAGGGTGCTTAAGCAATTTTTGAACGGCTTTCCACATTAAACCTCAATTTTGTGTCACATTCTGTAACCATGTGGGCATGTGAATAAATACCTAGAGTGAGACATTTTAAGCATTTAGTATTTACTAATACCATGTCCTGAATTTTCATGATGGATCCAGGGTACATACTATGTCTATAAAATGAAAACAATAGATTTCAACAGCTATGGATAATCCCTTGATTATCCAGAATACTGTTGATACAAATGGTCATTGTGGCTCAAAGAAGGTGTTAGTCATGTGTACACTTGAGAAATTCCAACCGTTATGATTCTCGGCATTACCATGCAAAATTCAAAATCTGCACATCTTTTGGTCATTGTGTCTGTTTCAAAAAACGTTCATCTGATTGAAGTGACAGTAATTGAAGTCACTGTCAGATCTTATTTCACAGTTACTGAATATAAAAATCATTCTAGATCTTTGAAAGTGTTTCTATTGATTTAAAGAAAACAAAGAAAGATTATCTCTTTGATGTTCTCTCATCAAAGAGTGGAAGAAGAAATCAGGTCATCATTCTAACCTGAAACTTGGAAAACTAGATTCGTTAAATTTCTTCTCATCAATAAAAGTAGTTTCTTACTAATTTTATGTGTATAAAGAACTAATTAAATTGTTAAGTTTATGAAATAAATTTATTTTGAGACTAGAAATTATAATTGCTTCATTGAAGATTGGGATGACGTAACAGTTTACAGCACAGAAAATGGAATCAGCCAATGCAGTTCAACTTCAAGTTGAGGCGTTTTGCATTTACTTTTTTAATGGTGTTAGAAAAGACAGGAATCCATCTTTTCTTCTTCCCAGCTATGGATTAAATAGCAAAGCAAACTGGACTTTCTAGCTTTGATAGGCAATTAATCTATACTATGTCAGATTTTATTATGCAAGTTAATGTTTTCATAATTGTAAAGATTATTTTAAATATGAGGCAGGGTTGGTTAATTTGGTTTCTGGCTGGGTACAAGTGTCTTAGTTGTTTCTCTTAGTTTTTCTCATATTTATAAACTGAACTCATTTGCATATGGGGTTTTCATTATACATGGAACTATTCTGATGAGACTTGACTAACAACTCACTCTTTCTGAATATCACTATCTTGATCTTGTCTATGTTTTGGATACAAAATCAATAGATATGGGTATTCAAAGAGATCTCAATGAGAGAATGTGTATGATACACCTAATTTACATGCATTCGTCAAAATGGGTTGGTTAGGGAAGATAGTTAAATTTTGAGACTCTGCTGGGATGCATTATGCAGGAACAGTCTTCCCAAGAATATACCAAACTAACTGTAAATATGTACCTATTCTTTGGCTAAGCAGATCAGATTTTGTGTTGGTTTCTTCAATTCTTCAAAAGGTTACAAGGGGGGATGCTCTCCTAAGATTTGACTCCTGCAAGGGGGATCACATTTCTTTTGCAAAGATCACATTTCTTTTGTTAAGTCTTTCAGATACACAGGCTGGTAGATGTAATTCACATTGTTTAAAAAAAAAAATGGTGCATCTACTCAAACATGGGGTATCCACTAATATAATGTTTGGGATAATATATATTTTAAGAAAAAATCCTATAACAAAGTGGGAAAAGTTCAGTGTGTGTGTGTATATATATATATATATATATATATATATATATATATATATATACGAGTGTATCAAAATTCTTTTTACAAAATTTGGAGGCAGGTTCCACAGACAAAAACAAGGTAAAATGTCTATATAAATATATGTCCAAAAGGCCATTGTTGGACCACAACATGTCAACTCATAACAAATGTTCAAAATGTCCACCACTTACACCCGTTGGATCATTGACTGGTGGACCCTTGCACATACTCTCATATGGTGTTGAATGGTTTCACAGGCCCCCATGACATGTTGATGAAGCATCTCTACATTATTAATGTCTGCTGTATACCAATTCTTTTAGGTGGCCCTACAGACAAAAATCCAAAGGATTGATGTTAAGGAAACATGCAGGCCATGGAACCAGTCTTCTCCTACCTACCTATCTTTCATAGTAGATGTCAACCAGTGCATCACGAACAATGTAACTAAAATGTGCTGGAGTCTCATCATGCATAAACCACGTGTCTTCATATTAGCAGGAGTAGATCCTCTAGCAGGTCTGGAAGTGAGTTCAAAATAAAGTCCCTGCAGACAGCTCTTGTAAAACTTGTTGAGAGAACATATGGACCTAACATCCCACAATTTAATCATAAACTGATGCTAGTGTCTATTACTGTATTGTACCATGGGGAGTCTGACCTGTCCACAAATGTTGGTTGTGTAAATTTGTTTTTTCATCTCTTCCAAATGTTGCCTCATCCATAAACAAGTCTGAAGAGAGAAACAATGGATCAGCAAATTTGTGCAATAAACCATCAGCAAAAGTTCTCCCATGGTGAGTGATCAGAGGGCAAAAAACCCTGCACACATTACAAATGATACAGACACAGGAGCTGCTCTTGAAGTACCCTCCATGCGGTATTATGAGATGTACAACATGCTAGGGCCACTTGATCATCTCTGACAGCTTGTAGAATGTGTTCTTTGTCATCAGACATACAAACAGATCTCAGTCATCCTCAAGCCATAGTTTGTGGTGCCATGGATCCTGTTTCAGCAATGTGATGATAAACTGCAGCAAAGGTTGGATGACTCAGCTGCCTTTGGTCTGGAAACACAATCTGATACAACTGTGAAGCCTTGCATCCATTACCATTTGCATGGTCATATGTAAAAATCATATCTGCTTGCTCACGATATGAATATCCTGTCATTGTTAAATGAAACACTTCTCAGTTAACTCACTACTACACATGTTAAACATTGAAGACAGACTAGCCACAAATGACAAATGTAACCAAGTTTAAATGGCAACAAATTGCCATCTACCATAAACTTTCTTTAAACTTAAAAATGAAGGATTTGCAGACATATGTTTATATGGATTTTTGTCCTTATTTTGGTATGAGGAACCCATCCCCAAAGTTTGTAAAAGTATTTTGATACACCATATATAATTTTGTCTATTTAAGCTTCAAATGTTCTTTAAGATAAATACTATTAAAAACTGCAGATCTTAAATGTATATAATAAAAAAAACACACTTCACACTTTACTTACATCACAACACTCTTTAATTTTATAAAACTTACCAACTACTTCTACCTACCCTGATGATAACTTAAGAAATTCAAAAGCTTGCACCATATTTCTATGCTTTTCTTCCAAAATGAACTTTGAATAATTTCTGACAGAATTTCCTCCTTGCCTGAGAAGGATTATTCATAATTTGGAAAAGTCGCTAATTGGAATTAATCAACAAAAAATGTCTGTCATATATATATATATACATATCATGATGTTTTTCAATAATTTGTGTTTGAATGCATGATTTTATTTCACACATGGCTGAAATTTATGACATATTCTGGAAGGTGACACTTCAATGCATCTTTCTAAATGTTTTGTGTGTGAATTTAAAATTTTTTTACATTAAAATTGAAATGGAAAGAAAATGAGATGCATTTTTCATCAATTGATGCATTTTATTTTCAAAAGGTAAAAAAAAAAATTGCTGTACAAACAGCAAAAAAGATATGTGCCATTTATAGAGATGGTGCCATAGCTGAAAGTACTGTTTGTAAGTTGTTTGCTGCATTCAGAAGTGGAAATTTTGATCTGGAAGAAACAATATACCAGCAGACCTGCTAAATTCAAATGCTGATTAAAAATAATCCAGGTCACATGACACAGGAGATCGCAGTGATATGCCACATATCTCATATAAGACATTTGAAACACTTGGATACATGAACCACTACAATTTTTTAATGTTGATTTCTATCCATTCTTCTTTGCTCAGACATAATGAAAACAACTCATTTTTAAAAGAACAATCACAGGCAATGAAAAATGGTTAGTTACAACAATGTGTCAAGTGAAAAGATCCCAGGAAAAAATGAAATGAGCCACCATTGAAAACTGCATAAGCCAGTCTGAAGAAGGTGACGCTGTGTGTGTGTATGTATATATATATATATATATATATATATATATATATATATATATATATATATATAGTCTAATGATTAAAAAGAATGTGATGCAGAAAGTGGAATTGGTGAGCTGAGTTCAAATTTCAGCCTAGTCTGTTGTGTTTACTTTGACCCAAATGCCTTTTGAAAAGACATAAATTCACTACTCCTGACTATGGGTTAAATAGCAAGGTAAACTGGACTCTCTAGCCTTGGGTAGCAGTCGATGTAAGAGAAAATCAACTCTGACCATAAAGACAATGGGAATCCACTCCACTATCTTTCCCAAGAATGCATGACAATTTACAAATAATAAAGAAAAAGACTTTTCGAAGAGCCATGACTGTTTATATTATGAATATAGCTTTAAAAAAAATGAAAAAAGATTTCTTTATTTATTGATCCACATATAATACACGGAAGCTAGCATAATCTTTGAAGAAGCAAATTTGATCAGTTTCATTTTTTATTATCGTTTCTCTTTGAGTTACCAAAAAGTTCTTTGGGTTGTTGAGTAAATAAATAAAAATAATTCTAATTTGATTTCAAGTGATTCATTGCACTAATTCTTATTTTAAACATATTTGTTCTATGTAAAGAAATTTGAATTCTTCAAATTTAAGGCCAATGTGTCAATTTTGTATTTTGCAGTCAGTGATATTTTCTCATGTTTTCTCTTTCACATCCAGGCCTCAACCCAAACCAGCTACCCCACCAGCTCCAGTCCGCCAACAAGGTAGGCAAATATTTATTACTGTTAGAAACTCCTTGATTCAAGAATTTAGTCAGTTAATGAGTTTTACTCCTTTGAATTTCTCTATGTAATATTTGACCCTCTTAAGAAAATAAGCAAGGTGAAGAAACTCAATAAGTGGATTCCACATGCACTTGGTGAATGTGATTTTTTGTGTGTTCAATACTGTATCTGCAAAATTCAAATTATCCTTCTTCATCAAATAGTGATTTGTGATGAAAAATGGATCCTTTATGACAAATGTAAATGATCAGCTCAATAGCAGGAACATGACAAAGGACCCAAAGTTGTAAAAGTTTTCTGGAATGTAACTAGATCATCAATGCTGAAGTCCACTGCCAGCAACTGGATGGAATGCATATTCAGTTAAGCAAAATTCAACTGGTACTGATTATTTGCCAGGATATCATGGTAGAAGCTCACTGACTTGTGATACCAACTTTGGCATATTTGCTATATTACCCTAATCCCCTTGACCACTGACTACCTCTTTTTCAACTATTTTGACAATTTTTAAGCTAAAAGACATTCCATTGCAAAGAAGATGCAGAAACTGCATTCAAAGATTTAATGACATCTGAACCTTTAAAGTTTTGTCATAAAAGCATAAATAAACTTGTACTTTGATGACAGAACTGTATAGATGTTCAGGGTTCTTAATTTGAGTGATTTAAGCACTGTTTATATACATTAATTCAGAAATAAAAGTTGATTCTGAAATCAGACATTATTTTACAAATGACCTTATAAAATGGCTAGGATTGTATTGGGCAAAAATAAGAGGATCATTTTTCTACAAGTCAGTGCTTCAGTCTTGAATCAGAATGTAATACCTGTGTACTCTGTGAAAAGTTATACACAAAACACAACTGAACTGCTAGAAAATTAGAGACAGCTACCTAATGTGTACCTCCCCATGTTGCTTAAATAATGGTTTCTCCTTGTCAGCAAGGATTAGAATAGGCTCACTATGTTCTGCAGAATGGTAATTCCACTTCAAAAAAGGAGTCACTTTCCAAATGGATTCTTGCAGGCTTGGATATAAAATTCTTTGTTTACTGTTTGACTTGTGTATAAAAAGGACCTTTTGTCTCTAGTAAAAACCCAACTAATATTTACCTTTTGTATAATTAAAAAAGCAGATTTCATTATTAAATAACCTATCAAGAGGAGATATGGTGATTTTCCAAGCATAGCTTAGATGTGGCACAAGACCAAAAGTAGGGGGCACTCTGTGAGGACTGAACTCATTAATCAGTCGTAATTGTTCTAGCAAGACAAGCTTGCTAACCATTACACTGCCTCAAGGTGCCCAATGAAGAGGAGATATATCATGAAATCCACCAATCCAACCTGGAATAATAGTGGCAACATGACTCATCATGAAGTTTATGAGGTGCTATAGTTGTAGTGGAGGAGGCATGGTGATGCTTACATGCTAATACCCTTGGAAAAGGTATGAATCCTCCTCTTCTCCCCCAGCTATGGGTAACTAGCAGGACAGACTGGGTTCTATAGCCTTGGATGGCAACTAGTCTACCACAGAAAGAAATGGCAACCTTTTTATGTGGGAAAATATTCGCCTTGTCGGTCATGTATCAAAAGATACATGATCGCCTAAATGTGTATCACACATGGCACATAACTGACTGATGGATAGTTTTGCATTGGTATATCTATCCAGCCAAATTTCAGGGCTGTTCATAAAAGTGTGCATGGTGAAGAGATGAATCTGTAAAGAATCTTTGGAGATGAAATGTTGACCATCAACTAATTGGCTAAGGGTAGGAGCATGAACAGTTTTCATATCTCTTGACATGTAAATCAACAGGAGTTGCAAGAGGAATGACCCTTCAGTTACACCATGATCAATGTTCATCTAGGTTTATTTTGGTATGAGAGACTCCTTTTAGAATCCCTTCTGTGCTTTGTATTTTTCAGAGAATCACTGATAGTCTGATTCAAATGCTTTCTAGAGTACTCACACATACAGTTGATGTGTTGGTTTCAGGTAAGGACAAAGAACAGTATGACAAGAACTTGGAGAAATTATTACAGTACTTCCAAGAAGCTAACATGTATTTAAAGAAGTTTAAGTTTGGTGTCACTAAAGTAGTTTAACTCAGATATAGAATCAGCAATCAGATTTTAGCTTGTGAAAAACAAGATACAAGCATCTAGCCCTTTCACTTTATCAGAATTGAAGGCCTATCTTGGATTGCTCATCTATTATAGCCAGTTTTTCACCATCCCTCTGACCTCTGCACAATTCTGAGTCCACTGTATGATCTGTTGAGGAGCTAGGTTGAAGTTGAATGGAAGGAAAGATAGGAAGACATCTTCCAACAGTTTAAGTAGTTGCTGTAAAATTTTCAAGTTGTCATACACTATGCTCTGTTGAAATCTCTGTTCTTATGTGATACATAGCCTGATAGTGTAGGAGCTGTTGTCTCATCAGATGGCTGTTGATAAAAGATCCAGGACCTTGTCTTAAGCTGAACATGTTATATACACATGGACAAGGAGGTCTTCAGATGTTTTCAGAGCCAAGAATTCTCACAGGGATTTATGTGACAGACAATTCCCCATTCTGACTACTTATAAACCTGTGTTTGGGGATCTAATTGTGGTGTAATGGATATCGGCTCAGAGTGAGAACTTAGAGAGCTGAATTTGAATTCCAGTTGAGTTCATTGGATTCACTTATGCACAAATACCCTTGGGAAAGGTATGAATCCATATCTTCTTTCCCCAGCTATGGGTTGAATAGCAGGATAGACTGGGTTCTTTAGCCTTGTTTGGCAACCAGTCTAACACAGAAAGAAATGGCAACCTATTGCGGGGAAAAATCTGCTTCGTCAGTCACGTATTGAAAGATACATGATCCCCTAAGTATGTACCATGTATGGCACTTAACTGACTGACTGATGGTTCCTCAGAGTGTGCAGCAATGTGTGTTGTCATTGGCAGCTTACAGTAATAAGCTAAAGTACAAGGAGGGACATTCTTATCAGAATACAGAGGCTCTTAGCCATTTTCCTGTGGATGCAGCAACAAAGAACAGGTCAATAAAAAGAAAGAGGACTGCCCTCTACAAAAATACTTTTTTTTGTTTTTAATCAAATTTACCCCCAAGCAAGATAGTAAAGCCAGTGGGACACAAAGGGGTTACTGGGTTTGAAATAATTAGAAAACATTAAGAAAAAGCAAGAACAATAGAAGAGTAATCAGGAAGACAGTAGGTAACAATAGACATTGCATTTAAAGTTTTGAAGCTCAAAGTTAGCTGGAAAGCACAGAGCCAGAAGAGATTGGATTGCTCATTTCTACACAGTAAATTGTGACAATAACAAGATGTGAATTAGCACTCTGGAATGGATGACCTGCTTCAACATGGATGAGAAGGAGTGTCTACTACTGAACTACAGCTTCTATACAATAGAGAACTGAAACATGAAGGCCAGTGTTGTACTGTAAGGGACACACGCAGTTTTCATCTTACCACAAGGTAAGCAAGCTATCAAACAATGGCATTATGTGAATTAAAACAAATAGCCACAAGTTTTTTTGATGCACAGGCAGTTGGAATTATACCAAAATGTGTTAGGAGAGCAGAAAGAAAATATGCTGATCCTAGGTAGAAGGCTGGTAACAATATTTTTATCCTTGATAGAGTGCACAGATACTACACTGCTCCTCGGCAGAAGTCTGGAAACAAGACTTTGATCCTAGGTAGAGTGCACAGAAACAACGCTTTGATCCTTGGTAGGGTGTACAGGTAATATACTGATTCTAGGCAGAAGTCTGTAGACAGTACTTTGATCCTTGTTAGAATGCACATATACTATACTGATCCTAGGCAGAAGGCTGGAAACAACACTTTGATCCTTGGCCGAGTGCAGAGATGCTGCATTAATTCTGAGCAGAAGAGCTGATTCATAATAATCTTATATATTCAAAGCCTCACATGTTAAAATATTCTTCTACTAATAAAGTCTTAAAATAAAAGAGAATCTTAAAATCATGAAGAAACTAGAATTAACCTGTTAATACACATAATCCCATATTTTATAAACATATAACTAATATCAGCTTTCTTTAGAAACACATAATTACTACCAGATTTTCATTTTCATTATCAGATTTTAAACTGGTCATTAATGGATTAAAATAACAATGAACTATTTCATTGACATTTATTTGAATGATTTCAAATGAGACCTTTTGTATTTGTTTAGATTTGATTTTTTTTTGTCTCCAAAAGTGTTGTGTCTTACTCTTATTATATATTTTTAATAAAATGTGTTTCCATTCTACATGAAAAATGATCCAATAGGTTTTCATTAACAGACAAAAATTATATTCATCAATATTCATAGTGAATTTTTCTTTATCTTTTCCAGATGCCAAACGATCCCATCCAAAGACAGACAATAAACCAGTGTCTTATGATCCAGTAGCACTGAGTGACCGCAGTGATAAATCCCCTTCTTCTAGCGCCTCTAGGTCAGTTAACTTTTTATACTTTGAAAACAGTTCATTTTAACCCCTGAATATCTGCTTTGATAAATTCCCTTCTTCTAGCACCTCTAGGTCAGTTAACTTTTTATACTTTGAAAAAGTTCATTTTAAGAATATCTCATTTTGACCCAGTTAACTTTTTATACTTTGAAAATATTCATTTTGACCCCTGAATATCTGCTCTGATAAATTCCCTTCTTCTAGAACCTCTAGGTCAGTTAACTTTTTATACTTTGAAAACAGTTCATTTTGACCCCTGAATATCTGCTCTGATAAATTCCCTTCTTCTAGAACCTCTAGGTCAGTTAACTTTTTATACTTTGAAAACAGTTCATTTTGACCCCTGAATATCTGCTCTGATAAATTCCCTTCTTCTAGCACCTCTAGGTCAGTTAACTTTTTATACTTTGAAAACAGTTCATTTTGACCCCTGAATATCTACTCTGATAAATCACCTTCTTCTAGCACCTTAAATCAAAACTCGAGCAGCACTTTTTTGATTCAAAACCATGGTGAGCAACCAGTGCACTGAGTGAATCACCCTGCAAAAGATCCTCCCTACATTTATAAAATATGAGCCTCAGAAGGAACTTAAAATATAAAGACTAAAATTTATGTGAATTAGATTATTTTTTTATTTTACATGATCACAAGATCACTACAACAGCAATCTCCTAGAGAAAATTGGTCAATTTAATAGTAAACTTTCTGTCCCTAGACAGACAAGAAAAATGTGTCCCATAATATCTCTTTACATTTTTGTTTATTTGGAGTTTTTCCCTTTCTTCATCATTCATCTGTATTTATTGTTAAAATGAATGCAGTATAATGGTAACTCAGAAAGATATTAGACAAATTCTTTTGATGTATGGATGATTCATGAAAGCATCAAGCTAAGTGTAAAAATGCAGTTTATTTAAATGGAACCTTTAAGAAAATATTGAATGATAATTGAAGGAAATTATAGAAGACTCAAGTTAAAAATTTATTAAATGAACAAAGGTTAAAATTACAATGTGACTTCCTATTTATTCAAGATGATATTATACTTGAGCTTTCTGAAGAAATAAGTTGGTTTCATTTTCAACTGTATTTTCTCCCGAATACGTAAGGAGATCAAGCTTCCAATGTTTAGATAAAGTATAAGTGAAAATGATAAATAAATTTTTATTTGTCAAGAACAATTTTAGGGAAAAATCTATGACAAAAGTGGAAAAGCTTTTTCATGTGATACATTTCATACTTTAGGACTTCATCAGACCAAAGTGATGTTTGCCCTGATGTGGCCACAGGTGGACGAAGGAAAGATTACACTGAGAATTTCCAAATTGAAACTTCAAAATCTTTTTCTTTCTCTCCCCCCACTTTTTTTCCCCTTGTTTTTCAAAATATATGCCCTGAATATATAGTCTAGCTGACTTTATCCAGTCTCCCTTTCTTTTTGTTCATGTTACCATCACTTTTGCCATTAAATATCCCATATCATGGAAGATCTGCCGAGGAAAGTGAAATGTTGCAAGACCCCAGATGCAAATTTACTGTGAATAATCTAGCAATGAAAGCACCTTCCACACATCTTCATCTTAGCAAATTGCCCTCTCTTTCAGCTTGAACAGCACTCTTTTGAATCAAAACCACATTGAGCAACCAATATACTCAGCATTGTCACCCTGCAAAAATCCTTGCTGCGTTCATAAAATATAAACCTAGGAAGCAACTTAACATGTCAGGATTAAAATATCTTTAGAAGGGAACTATTTCAAGTATCAGACCAATTATAGCTGTTTGTCAAGTCGCTACTTGTTTGGTTTAATAGTCACTGCAGCTATTATAGTGTTTCAAATGTAATTATCGACCTCAAAGCTTACTAAGATTTATGTCTTGTTTAATATGCCTTAATTAATTCTCTGAAGCTTTAGCCAGTTGGCTTTCATATATACCAGCAACTCTTGTCATTGTGTAAATAAAGTAAATCTACTACAGTTTTCATGAGCAGTACGAGGAATATATTTGTAGGTCTCATCCATTGTGGAATTTGCAGAAAAGTCCTGCACAAAACATCTACCATATATACTTGAGGATAGGTCGTACTTTTTTCATTAAAATTTTGCTAAAAATCAGGGGTGCAACCTATCCACTTGATATCATAGAGAACCCAAAGTAGACTGTGGCGTATCAGTCATCCAGGCAAATACGCTGGGCTCAAGCATAAGCAAGAGCAAGGGAGAAAATTAATTTTTCCAAACATTTTGATATTACAGAATCACCTCTTCCAACAGTACCGTGGCACACATTGAATAAAAGTGCTCGATCACAAATGCTCATATTTACCATTTATTATCAGATTTATGATGAAAGACTATCATTTTCAAGTGATTTTAGGACTGAAGTGATTAACAGTATCCAAATTTTTATCTAAAGAGAACAGCCTTGCACTTGATAAGTAAATACCATGAAATTACAAACACTCACTTTTCTTATGCTATATGTAAGCAAAATTTTGAAATAAAAGTGAATATTTGAAAATATTTAACAAATATTAGTTATATTTATGTTAAAAAAGGGCCATATAACTTCCCAGATTATAATGTGACCAATCTATGAGTCAACCACAAATACAAACTAAGGGAGCAACCTATCTACTAGTGCAACCTATATGCGAATATATATGATATGTTTTAAAAAATTTATTAATTTTAAAACATTTATGTTTTAAAAATGTTACTTTATTGGTTTACTCACAATATTCAGGGGCTTATGTTCTTATCATGCTGAACCACCAATTCCCATCCAATCACCAAAGTTAAGCAATGTTGTGCCTGGTCAATACCTAAATGGGTGACTACTTGGGAATACCAGGTAGTGTAAGTTTAGATGTGCAGATGGTGTAATGGATAATAGCTCAGAATGAGAAATTGGAGAACTGCATTTGATTTCCAATCAGGTTTGTTGCATTCACTTTTGCACAAATACCCTTGGAAAAAGTAGAAACCGACTTCTTCTCCCCATCAGCTATGGGTTAAATAGTAGAACTTGTATGAGAATGTCATTATTATCTCCAAAACATTGTTAATGCAATATTCATTCACATAAAAAAATCAATTATTCTTACAATCTAAAAATATATTTTGGCTTTAAATAACCCACAAAAGCCATAAAAAAATCAATCCAAATTTTATGTTTGAAAAATTTTACATAGAAATATTTTTAAAAAATGTTTTAAAATTTAAACTATGTTCCTCAGTTGATTCACTTGTTCTTCAGATATAGCAGCAACACTTCTTATTGTGTAAATAAAATAAATCTACTACACTTTCTTTAATGGTTACTAGATTAAGCATTTAATTCCAAAGGATTGCTGAAAAGTTCTCAGCCCAACCTACTTCCCAAATTCTGACCAAAAGAGAATTCTTTGTTGGGCCAAGAACCTTTCAGCACCCTTCTCATTTTACATTAATTTTAAAAATTTTTTAAAACTAGAATTCACTTAATACAAGACTCGAGAGCCACTCATGGTAGAGGGTTACTGTTAAAATTGTTATGGTGAATGAGGTGTATAGCATGGATTAAGAGAATAAGGAGAATGATTGATCCTTGAATTGAAGGGGTTAAAATTGTAATTCTCAGGGAAACATCCACTCAGGAGTCTGTTCAACAATTATTATTATTTGCTTATACTGACACACCACCAATGTTTTAACCCAGACAAATTACAAGTATTTTAGTATCACAAGGTTACTGTTGTGATAAATAAGGTGTATGATATGTGTGATAGTTGTGATAAATAAGGTGTATGATATGTGTGATAGTTGTGATAAATAAGGTGTATGATATGTGTGACGAAAGACATGACTTACCTCGAAGTTCAAAACGAGTGCAAACATGTCTTGCCTGCAAAGTAATGAGGAAAAGAAATATGACCACTATCGAAGACACAATTTATGCGTGCCGATCTCGTCCAAAACGAGACGATATTCGCACACATGCAAATTTCGGATGTATCAGACTGGCATAAAAAGCGCGATGCCAGCAGCACGAGCAGAGGGTCAGGAGTCATTTGGCAGACTTCATGCAATAGAGTTGGATGTACAAATTGACTAACAAACAAAGTGGAAGTCGATGTAGGTGCAGCTGAGTTGGTGTCTGTTTCACGACTGCCCTGTGTAACGTCCGAGAAAGGGAGTCTTGCAATCCATTTCTTTGAGGCAACCGATGACCAATGTAGAATAGCTAGTTTGCCGGCAAACGGCGCACTGCACTTTCTGTCCCCTCTCTCATCACTTTCTTCTCTTTGTTTACTACAATATGAATGAAAAGAAAGTGGTAAGAATTGAAGTTCATGAGGATAAGAAGGATAAATAGTGAATGAAATGACCTGAAATATATAGTGTATAGTAAAATAACCCAAAATACCCAAGTGAGATGTTCAAAGGGTTAAGTTTATGGTTCAAGTTTTAATATTCATGAGAAGACTTATGGTCATATGACATACAGTTACCAAAGTTAAGTAATGTCAAGTGTAATCAGTAACAAGATGGGTGACCACTTGGGAATACCAGGTGCTGTAAGCTTGAATATGTGGGCGGAGTAATGGATAATGGCTCAGAATTGTTAATTGGAGAGCTGAGTTCCAATTCTAGTTGGTTTCCTTACATTCACTTACATGCAAATACTCTTGGAAAAGGTATGAACATCTATTCTCCCCTCTTTAATGATACAAGTCTTATTAATTAACCCCTATGGGTTAATTAGTAAGACTTGTATCATTAAATCATTTTTATCTCAAAATAATATTCTTACGATTTAAAAATATTTCCTGGCTTTAAATAACCTGTCACTGTTTTCCTCCACTTTTCTTGCCTTTGATAAATCACTGGGCTTTTCAAAGGACTATTTTTTTTTTTGCATTTAGAGCTTTACCTTATATTCAAGATATTGCTTGCCTATTTTTCTATGTGTTGTGTCCCTTCAGGATGTTGGTGATCATGGCTACCCACAACTTCCTATCCTTTGTAGTTCTTAGTAAGGTTTATCTTTTTGCCATCCCTCCCAATCCTTTTTCTGCCATCCATTTACACAAGCTCATTACTTACTGCTTTCCTCTGTCCACCTTGCCTTCAATATGTCCTGTGATTGTAAAATTCTCCAAGCCCTCATTCCTCATTATGTGCTCTCTAAATACTCCAACTGCCCTTTCTGATTCTAAGCATAACCATTTTGTTTCCATTATCCTTAAAACTTCCTCCTTGCTCACATGTTGTCCATGGTATTCTCAGCATTCTTCTGGAGAACCACATTTCTGTTTGTTCAACTCTGCTCTTCATCTGGAAGAAGATTGACTAGTATTCATAGCCATATAGAAGGACATCTCTTTTCTTTGTTTCCAACCCTATTTTCATGCTTCTTAATATCATGTTTAGCTTTTGATGGCATCTATTGCTATTTCATTGGCTTGTCTATAACATTCTATTACACAATTATACAAGAAAAACAGTTTAAGAAATGCAGTATTGCCATGAGAGTAATTCTTAATGCAGATTCTGTCATTACAAATGTCATTTCTGGTGTGAAACTAAGAATAATACTTTCAAGAAGGCTTTTAGACATTTGATTTGATTAGCATAATCTTTAACAGTGGCATTCATGCAACAGATATTTAGTCACCAAGTTCTACTTCAATTGTTTACAGTGTTACGATTGGCCTTGCTTGACTCCTGTTTTGGGTTAGTAAAATACAACACATATTCATCACAGCAACAAAGTGAGACATTTATGCTAAATAATCAGAAGGATTTATTATCCAAGTTCAGAGGAGTGACAAAATTCTTGTTTGTGGTTGTTAGTATAATATTTCTGGTTTGTGTTTTTGTTGGGTGAATGAATAGAGTTTTTGGAAGTGAATAAGTGAAGGCTATATTTAATAAAAGAAAGTGATATTTGGGTGAGTTGACTTATCTGTGGTTTTCATTTCTGGAACTGCTCAATTCCATGTGCTTTCCTTGCAAGAGACCAGCTGAAAAGAGAGAAAGTCTCTAATTTACACTAAACTATTTACACTAATTACATTGTTCATACTGTTGTCCTCATCTTTATTGTCATATTCATGACGTTTCAGCCATTTTACACACCAGCCTTCTTCAGGATCTGTCTATATTTTTGAGATGAGGTATTGTAACTATTTACCCACTTTATATTGTTCAGACTGTTGACCTCATCTTTATTACCATATTCACAGCATTTCAGCCATTGTATGTTCCAACCTTCTTCAGGTGATATATGCTGGAATTTCACATGATCCAGTAGATAAAAGTGTTGGTTGAAGTAATCCAAAAAGTGACTTGTCCCAAAGATTTGTGAGTTCAATACCTGGCCACAGTAGAAGTGAACAAAATCTTGGAGATTTGAGTTACTAAAGGAAATTAACTGATACTGAGATATCGAAAAAAAAGGCATGGCATGTGGAATTAGAATAATCTACACTTGTGGACTAAACAAAAGGTTTGATTTGAAATTCCAACATATATCACCTGGAGTAGGTTGGAGTGCTCAACAGTTGTGAATATGGCAATAAAGATGAGGACAACAGTCCGAACCATGTAAATAGTGTAAATAAAACAAAGTTCTTCAACAGTTCCCTTGTTGTTGTTTTTTTCCTTCCACATTTCATAAGTTTTTACAATACCTTTAGAGTAAAATACTGCAGGTTTTAATGTAAAAAATTATGTTGTCTAACATGACACAGTGAAACAACTTTCCTAGCAGCAGACCTAGCAATTGATTCAATATAATCTTTCCACTTCTTGCTGGATGAGACCTTGCATTGTCATAGAAGAGAAAAACGTTTTTATGGACATGTTCCAGTTACTGGATATATAAATGTGCATTTAGTGTTTCCTAGCATTTTAAGAAATCTAAATGAATAATACCCTGAAGATCCCGCAACATGCAAATCACCTTTCTTTTGTGGAGCTCAACTTTTGGGATCAGTTCTAAGGATTAATCCTTTTTAATCCACTGACTTTTGCACTGAACATTGTCATATGTTAGTGTACCTCAAATTTCTTTTTAACTGACATGTATGATTAGTTTGAACATGTGGCTGGGGGGTTAGAATGTTCAAATTTTGACTATGAGACTTTGGTTCAAATCTCACAATTGTCAATTTGTCAGGAAGGCAACTTCTTGATATTATCAATCTAGGGAGGTGATCCTAGCATGCTTGTACCTTTGGAAAGCACCTGATAAGATATAGCTAAAAAAATCTCACTGTATATAAAAAGCAAGCTAGCAGTACAAAATAATATATAAATGAATATAAAGCAAGAAATCACAATTATAATTTTATTGATTGATTCATTTTCTATGGTTTATCAACCCTTTGCAGGTTATTTAAAGCCAGAAAATATTTTTAGATTGTAAGAATTTGTGGGGAGATAATAATGATTCAGTGAGACAAGACTGAACTAATTAACCCATAGCCAAGGGAAAAGAGGTGGATTCATAACTTTCCCAAGGATATTTGCACAATGCACATAAGTGAATATGCTGAATCCATTATCCATTACACCAAGACAGTGTACAAAAATATGGTAAGATATATGCATGGTCAAGTCTAAAATTTGGCCAGGCTGTTTAGGTGAGCAAAAGAAAGCCAGAAAAAAAATTTTTTGGAGATAATAATGGTTTACTGATACAAGTTCAACTAATTAACCCACAGCTGGGGGGGAATAGATTGATTTGTTATATTCAATTATGTGCAAATACTCTTGGAAAAGGTATTTGTGCATAAGTGAATATAACGAACCCAACTGGATTTGGAACTTGGGCCACCGATTTCCTATTCTGAGCTGTTAGGTGTTACACCACCCACATATCTAATCTTACGTAACCTTCCTCAACGGTCACCCATCTAGATATTAAACAGGCTCGATGTTGCTTAACTTCAGTGAGCAGATGTGAACTGGTGTTTCAGTGTGATATGTCTGTTGCCAGAGTTTTATCATTACTGTTAATTCCTTTCAATTGCATCTCTTTCTTCCATATTTTCCACAGGGAGTTCACTGAGGCCATAATCGATCAACTGATAGCAATGAATGTCATGATAATTCCTTTTATAGTACAAATGATATTGATAACAATAACAATGATGAAAATATTGTTTGGTTGGTTGGTTTTGTTTAGTGGCACATAAACCTCTATGGTTTATTTAATGCCAAAACATTTTCGATTGTAGGATTTTATTTGGTTTATTTTATGGCATATCAACACCTCAATGAGTTGTGTAATGCCAACAAGATTTTTAGGATAGGTTCATATGAATAGAATATGTATTCTTTGTAAGAAATCAGTTTGTAGATCAGGTTTTATCGACGTATTATTGTAAAGAATGTTTTTGTCGAGAGTCAAATGTATTGCTGGTAATTTTTTTTTCCAAAGAGGTATTATTGGTAACTTTACTACAAAAACCTATTTTTATACTTTCATAGTGTTTTGACACCAGTTTTAACTATTTTCCCATAGGTCAGGGTGAACCTAGGAACAACATCAATTAAGAGGTGGTTTCACGCTCCTCAAGACCTCCCATTCAAAGGTCTTACTGCTGGATGTAGTTTATCATCATACCCAGGACAAAATATCATTTGAGTAAATGATGTTATTGTGATTTTTGGTGAGGTAGAAGTGACCATCTGAGGTAAAATTGTAGTTTACAGTATTGAGTGTTGTGGATAAAATTAGCTTAGGAAAAAAACATCTTTCTTTAAATATTGTAGACTGGTACTACAGAATTACAAACAAAAAGCTGTACTAAATGGCAAAAACACCATCACTTGAGGAATACCAACAGCAGCAACAACTAAAATGGATAGCACATGCAACTCAAAGAGAAAATAATATCATAATCAAGATGTTGACATTCCACACTACTTCAAATAAAAGGTTAAGAAGAAAACCTCTATCTATACTGGAAAGAGTGATAAAAGCTACTGTACTTGAGAAACCTATTTTCCTGAAATTTAGCATTACTTCAAATAAAAGTGTAGGAGAGAAACTCCCATCAACACTGGAAAGATCAATGACTATAAAATTGTATTGAGAAAGAGATTTTATAAATTTCAACTAAAAGCAGTACTAAAAGCAGTGAATACTAAATGTTTCCTTATAGGGAAATGCCTAATATTACCACTATCATTACAGGTAACCTGAACTTTACATCTATAACACAATGCAGGAAATTATTTTAGATATTATTTTTTTTTAAAGTGCATCTTATAAACTGTCAAGTACAGTAATTCACTTCAAGTAGTTTCTATACTGCATATGTTATTTCCATAAGACTTGATTCCAAGTGAAATTCATGTATTGAAAATGATCTCTGAAAATTGTACAATATTATTTTTATTATTAATGTATTCAACTTGAATTAACCTTAACTAATTTTGTACTGTTTCCATACAGTGTGCGGGATATGTCTTCTTGCAAGTCTCCAGAGGATGAAGATAGCCCTGAAAGGATATCCAACATGCCCTCAGTAATACATGATTCCCCTACCAAGCATCCAGCCTCTCAAGCCAGAGCAAAACAAGTTACAAGGTATGTATGTGTGTGCACACACACACAAACACATATTTAAATATAGTTATAAGGTATGTTGTATTTCTGGGTGAAAGTGCTCAATATCAGCGATAGAGCATGTGTAAATATAAAAGTGGATACTGAGGTCAACACCACATGGCAACAGTCTTTCAAGCATGAAGCAGACTGTTGCCACTCAGTGTTGACACACACACACACATATATATACACACACACACACACACACACACATATATATATACACACACACACATATACACACACACATACACACACACACAATATCATGGTGTGTAAATGAGTGTATGTATGCATGTTTCTATCTCTTTATTTTTCTTTTGGTTCCTTTTGTTTTTACACCTTTTAAAAATGATGTTCTGGCTATTCAAACATTGATAGTACTATTGGCTATTTCAAATTTTATTGATTTGAAAATAATTTAAATAATTCTACATTATAACAGCCCAAAATAAAAATGTATATACACTGCAACATTTCGATAAATACCGTAGATTTTAAACTATAAAACTTGGTTCTTTCAGCTCTCTGTATGAAGTTGTTTGATTATAAATCACATCAACCCTGTGTCAGTCACCTCGGATTGATTAGGCTATATTTGTTGTTTTTGCTTGGCTTTTTATATATACAGGGCAGTGATGCATTGTGGGTAGTCTATCATATTATTCTAATGGTTATTTTGGTGGACATAGTTTAATTTGTTTATTATTTATTTAGTTTATTTATTTATTTGTTTGGATTAATTTATTTTACTTGCTTTTATTTATTTATTTTCATTTATTTTTGTTTGTTTTCAGTTTTTGATTTTTATCAACATAGTAAAAACTTTGTTTTCATATCTGCATTTTGAGATGAGTTATTATCGTTTATTTAGTATTATTTTTTTTTTGTCTGGGAATGTAATTATAGCTATTTTTCCTCCAGGCAGAGTTTAGTTTTTGGATCGATTGTTGTAAATTAATCCAAACAAATAAGTAGATGCTTTCTCAAAAAAAAAAAAATGACTTAAAGAAGATATAATTAAAATAAACAATTTAACTAACGTATTTATCACAGCGAACAAAACTAGAAATTTATATGAACTCAGCCCCCACCCCTAAACACAACAAATTACCCAAGGACACCATAACTAAAACATACAAAAAAGCACTGAAAAAAACAGGACAATATATGAATAAGGAAGCTAAAGTAATTTCCCAAAAATTAGAACTAAACAACTGAATAAATTGAATCACTAAAGCACAAGCATTTATCGCATTAAAGGCTACAAGGATAATTTCAGAACAAACCGAACATGCAAACTCATAGATCCTACCAAAAGTGAACTAAGTAAAGTAAGTAAAACAATACAAGAAAGAATTAATTCAGAGTTAAGGAAGAAGTTTGGAGTAGATCAGTGGAAAAACACAAAAACAACTATAGACTGATTCCGCAGCATAGAATAACAAACATAATTGCCAATTTATACAGCTAGATAAAGAATTCTACCCTTCTATAACAGAACCCATCTACCTTAGCCCAAGAACAAATAAAAATAAACAAATGAAATAAAAAAAATCATTAAACACTCCTGAAAATCACTACTATTTGACAATGAAGACACATGGATAAAGAAGGAACCTTTGACACTACAATGGGAAGCTTTGATGGTGCAGAGACCTGCAAACTCATTGGTATATATTTCCTATGTGAAATAAGTAAAATAATCAATAGAAATGATACAGGACTCTACAAGGATGACAGACCCATCATCGTAAGAAACTGTAACAAACAAAACATAGGCATAACTAAAAAACAATCAAATATTTTGAAAATATGGGATTTGATGTCACCTTCAATCTAAAGGTATAGATGAACCATACAGAAAACCCAATGATATACCACTGTATATACACATATCTTCCAACCACCCACCATCAGTAATCAAGTAGATACCACAATCAGTTAACTTGTACACAAACATTTCCCCATACCAATCACTCTCCACAAGATATTCAACAAAAACACAGTAAAAATAGGCTACAGTTGCACAGAGAACATAACACAAACAATAAAAAAAAGCTCAAGAAGAAAACAATCAACAAACCACTTGAACAAATTAAACCCATGTGTAACTGCAGAATAAGGAATGAATGTCTCTTAAATGGCAATTGCTTCAGAACAATGTATTATATAAAACCAATGTAAAATCAGCAGATAATGAAGAAAAAGTATACATAGAATTAACTGAAGGACCCTGGAAACAAAGAAACTATGCACCAAAATATCCTTTACAAATAATAAATACACAAACTGCACAATGCTTTCTGAACATATCTGAGAGATAATAAGGAAAAGAAGATCAGCCTACAACAATCAATCCGAAAACTGTAAACTCTGCCTGTAGGAAAAAATAGCTATAATTACCTTCCCAGACCAAAACAAACTACTAAATAAACAGAACTCATCACAAAATGAAGACACAAAAAAAATTTTTACTATGTTACTTAAAAATCAAAAACTGAAAACAAACAAAATAAAATAAATAAATAAATAAAAGCAAGTAAAATAAATTAATCCAAACATAAATAAGTAAATAAACTTAGTAAACAATAAACAAATTAACTAGGCTCACCAAAATAGCCATTAGAATAATACAATATACTACCCACAATGCATTACTGACTTGTATATATAAAAAGTTGAGCAAACATAATGCACATGGCCTGACGATTGCATTTAGCATGAAACAGGCTGTCACCTCAGACTGTCAACTTCAATGTCCCTTTATATATATATATATATATATATATATAATTTTTAAAAGAGATATAAATCATGAAAAATTATCTTTGTTAGTCATGTGGGGTGAAAGGACACCCTGAAGAAGACAAAGTAATGTTTGCCTCCCACAACAACTGTGCCACACTGTATGCTACACATACTCACTTAGTCAAGAGAGGACTGGGAGGGAGCAAAAGAAACAAGTTTCCATCTAGGAATTATGTGTAACAAAACACCCCATGTGGCTAACACAGGGCTAATATTCATGCATGTCACAGAGTATATAATAATCTTATATGTTTGCTATTAAGATTTGTACAACAATAACATAAATAGTACATGGCTACACCTCCCAAACTCATGATGGCCAGAGCCTGACAGCTGATCTCTCCTCTGTCCTGGCTCTAACAGCTCAATGGGGGAGAGACTGGCTTGTCACATTCAATGGCTCAAAAATGAAACTAGTGACATTTGATCATCACCAAGCAGAACCTGAATTTTCACTTATCGCGATGATGTTCTCTCAGGAAGGTCCTGTCCCTCAATCACCTATTGAGGTTTAAGCTCAACCCCTGACCCCTCAAGTAGAACTCATACATACGATCCATCACTAAAGATACTGAAAAAATTGTTGGTTCCTTTACTGCTCTAGTAAGTACCTGACTCCTCCTGCTTTTCTCTATCTTTACAAGAGCCGGATCAGGCCAAAAATGGAGTACTCCTGTCGTATTTGGGCAGGAGCTGCTCAGTTTTCACTTTCCAGTCCAAAAGCATTTCTGCATCCTTAGGGGTGATGAATTATTTTCCACCCTACAATCCCTTTCCTACAGACGAAATCATACAAGCCTCTTACTGCTCTATCACTATTTCCATGGAAAGTCTTCAGGCGAACTACATGCCTTAGTTCCACCAATTCTAACCTTCACGGCTATGCCCCACCATGCACATTATAATGAACCCCTCTCATTCCATTTGTATTCCATTACTGAGATTTCTTCTCAAGCAGCTTCTTCCCGTGAATTGCTGCTCTGTGAGACTGACTCCCAAGGATGCTTCTCCGACCACTACAATCTTAACCTGTTCAAGTCTAAGGTTAACTGTTATCTTCCCCACATATCACTATAAACTGTGCTTCTTCCTCTACTTTGAGTGATTCTTGAGCCTTACACAGATTGAACCTTATTGTCAAAGAAATATTATTTCTTTTTGTTACTATAACACAGCAAAAACTGCACATTATTGCACAATTTTTGTTAGAGCACTAACTGGGAAATTAATTTCATTCCCAGCTACATCAGCTTCAAAGTAATTTTTTATTTAATATATATACTGACAAAAAAAATAAAACATACTTCCAAGAGAGATAACTCCAAGTGTTAATTACTAATTACAAAGTTGTTTCCCTTTTAATGGAATATGTAGGGTAGAATCAGTGAACTGTTAGTAATTCCATCAGCCGTGGTGCCATACCACTTACTATATTTTAATGATAATTATCATTTGGAAATAATTATAAGTTCTATAAATAGGAAGAAATCTAGTCTCAAGCAGAAGTTGGCAATAATAGCATATAAGATTCTCACCATTCACAAGAAAATTTATCAAACGTTTCTTTTGAACTAGCTAGATTCAATGGCCACTACTACTCAGTTTCTTTTCTTGCACCTCCAACCTGTGGAACTCCCAATTTCTTGCTTCCCTGATAGCTAAAATCTGGAAAAATTTATGTGCAACGTCAATCGCTACCTTCCATTTTCTTTAAAACCCTTTTCCTTTTTGTTCTTTCTTCAATCCTCCCCATTCTAAGTCTTCTCATTCTCTTTCGTTTTCACTCCTGTAACACCCCTGCATTCTAGTGACATTATCGCCTTGCTTGGGGTGAAATGATTAAAAAGAAATTATTATCTTTTCCAACTAGTTATATTTTTTATTACAAAGAAATATATATATAATAAACATACCAACCCCTTTCTGCTATCTCGGTTTCCACCAATAAATGGTTTTTTCATTGCCTAAAGAAATCATTTATTGGTGGAAACCATGGTAGCAGAAAGGGTTAGTGTGTTTATTATTTTAAATATTAAATAGTCCTGTACTTTTTATTTTTTTGAACTGCGCATTGAGCACTTGTTTAATATAACTGTTTCCCAGGCAAGATATACTTTCTTGTTTGTAAAAACAGTTTTATTGTGTGCGTGTGTGCATATATATATATATATATATATATATATATATATATAATTTATGTATTTAGGCAGCAAATTCTCTTTTAGGCATATCTCCCCATTTATACTAAAAATAACCTTCCATGTATTGATGTTAAAGGATGAGAGAAATGTGCTATAGCTGTTTAAATTTCTTTTTATTTTCATTTCCCAAGTAACTTTCTTTCATTCAAGTGGTACAAAACTATATGTTGTTCATTAGTATAAGTATTTATACAAAGTTGTGCATTATTATCCATTACTGTAATTTTTCATTATGCTTTTAAATGCAAAATGTTTGACACAGTGTTCATGTGAAAAAATTAACCATTATGGAATTTTTTTGCTATAATTACAAAAAATTCCATGGATAATTTTTCACGTTCTAATGAACACTAACAAATTGTCAAAATTTTTTGCTATAATGAAAAAATTACATAAGAAAGCACAACTTTGTATAAATACTTATACTAATGAACAAATATATGGGGTGAAATGATTTTAGAAGAAAATAAAAAGTTACTTGGGAAATGAAAATAAAGAAATTTCCAACTAGCACATTTCTCTCATATTTTAACATCAATTAAGGTTATGAACGGATTTTGTTAAAATTAGACATAATATCTGTAACTTATTCAATCAGATACATACATATATAAGTTAGATATGACTGAAAGCCTGTTTTAAGACACTATCATACTGCAAGCTCTAGTACCAATTGGATAAGGATCATGCCCCTAAGGGAGAAAAAAATATAAAGCAAATCAGAAATTAAATATTAAAAGGTAAGTTTGAAATCAATACAAGGTACTCAGATTCACTCTCCCCCTGTTTGATAGTTAATTGTTTCTATTAACATTAAAATGCAATAAACTGTCACTCTGTTAAAGTAAGTGTTCTAGCATTGATTTCTCTTGAATAGACTAGCTTATATGACATATAGATTTCAATGTAACGAAATGTAATAAAAGCAAAAGTGTCCTATACAAAGATTTTTTATTGGAGTTAGCGGCTCATATTGATTATGAGTTCAATTCCATCCATTACATTCACTTAATTTGAAAAGATATGAATCCTCTTCTTATTCCTCCAGCCATGGGTAAATCAGGACAGGCCAGAACTTCCAGCAGTAAGAAATGGCAACAATTTGCCTTGTCAATGTATCAAAGGCTTTAAACATGTATCATGAATAACTACTGAGAAAAGTTGTTTATTCACAATATATATATATATATATAGTCAAGCAAGATAACAAATACTAACATGCAAAAGGTTACATGTGAAAGAATATAAAAAATGTTTATTAAAGAGAAAAAACAATAAAAGAGGAAGGATCAAGAAGACAATTGATAATTGAAAATGCATTTAAAGTTTTGAAGTTTTGTTGACTGGAAAACAAGAATCCAGAAGAGATTTCCACAAGTGAGAAGTGCGATAGAAGAAACTGTTACCATAGAACTTATGGTTAGATCTAGCCATTACAACTCTAAAATGATGGCACCTTGCTGCCAATCTAGTACTATACTTAAATTCATAAAAGTCTAGGTAAAGTAATGGTGGGAAAGTCAGGACCAATTTATTTTTTATCAAGAATCTCTAAATATATAGAAACACCAGACCAGAACAACAATATTCAATGCAAGGACAAATGGTAGACTTATAGATATGTAAGATAGATCAGCAATTATTGGTGAGTGATGCTTAGAGTTGTGTATTAAAATATTAATCTTCACATTCCTAAAGTATTTCTTGATATACTTGTAACAAAAGTAGTGAACAAAAGCTAACATTAGCTATTAGGACTTATGCTCAACACAGACCTCTAGTGTGCAAGTCATGCATACAATCCATTGGTGAAGATGCAGGTAAAATGATCATGACACTAGTACCTTTAAATATTCCAGATCAGACCGAAAATTGAGTACTGCTGCCATATTTGCTCAGTCCTCATTTTCTGGTCTTAATAGTCCAAAAATGTCTCCACATCCTTGTGAATGATGAATTATTTTCCACCCTACAACTCTTTTCCACAGACAAAACATTACAAGCCTCTCTCTGCTCCATTGCTATTTCTATGGAAAGTGTTCAGGTTAAATACATTCCTTAGTTCCAACATTTCTAACCTTCATGGCTAAAAACCTGCCATGCCAACAGACATTGTAGAGATCCACCCTCATTTCCTTTGTATTCCATTGGTGAGATGCAAGTTCCACTTGAGCAGTTTCTTCTCATGAACTGCTGCTTTGTGGAACCAACTCCCAAGACTATGATTCCCCAATCACTGCAATCTTAACCTGTTTGCATCTAGGGTTAACCATTATCTTCCTCTCACATATCCATGAACTGTGCCTCTTACTCTGTAATGCTCTACTTTGAGTGTCTCTTGAGCCTCATACAGAGTAAACACTAAGAAAAAAAACAGAAGCATTGGATTTCATGCATTCAAAAATTATCATCTATTGATATACCAGTTCATTATGCAGTTGTAATTTAATCATAATTTATTGGGTATATCGACCATAGTCGGGATCATCAAGTCAATGTGAAAAGATCCTTTCCTTAGCTGCAGAGCATGTGCTTCACCATGGCTACATTCAGTTTTAAATTCAGAGTTGTTCTTCTCCTAGACTGATTATAGAACCCAGTCCTACTATTCAACCCATATCTGGAAGAAGAAAAGATGGATTCATACCTTTCTGAAGGCCTGAATTTGAACTCTGTTCTGATCCTCACAATTGATTACTCTACCATACCTCAAAATTTATAGACAAACATTATTTGCACATGTCCATATATAAGTCGATTAAATTAGCTTCCAATTTCGAATCTCAATTTCTAAATATTTCCAGTTAACTATTCTGAGCATTTTATTTTTTATGCAGAAAACATTCAAATTTGCAACTCATTTCAAAGGAAAAAGCTTGTTGGTAAGTTTATTGCACATATGGTGGATGTCCGAAAAGTAAGCCATAAACATTTCTCAATCAAACCTGTTTATTAGGATACAGATAGATTATTATGCATCTCAATGTTAGCTTTGTCACCATGCTTTGCAACCAGCCTCTCCTCCAACCTATCTCTAACAGCTAAATGGGAAAATAACTGGTTTGTCATTTTCAATTCCTCAAAAAAACCAAGCTGATATCATTTCATTGCCACCATTCAGACTCTGAGTTTTCTTTACTCACAGACTTACATCCACATCCTTTTGAAACGCTGGTTTCCATACGATCACTAAAGTTAAGCAACATCAAGCCTGGTTAGTACTTAGATGGGTGACTGTTTGGGAATACCAGATGCTGTAACCTTGGATAGGTGGGTGGTATAAAGGGCTTATGGAACACCATGTTGAAACACTTGGATGTGTGGGTGGTGTAATGAAAAATAGCTCGGAATTGTTAATTAGAGAGCCTAGCTCCAATTCCAGTTGGTTCTATTATATATACACTTATGAGCAAATACCCTTAGGAAAAACATTGTCACCTTTTCACCCCCTAGCTATGGGTTAATCAGTATGACTTGTACCACTAAAACCATCAGTATAATATTTAAGTAAATGCTCTGTTTATAATAAACAGTATTAAACAACATTTAATATTGTTTATTATAAACAGAGCATTTACTTAAATATTTGTATCTATAAAAAGAATGTATAAACATAAAAATGTCTTAAAATAATTGTCAGACTTTGTCCATTTTTATATATATATATATATATATATATATATATATATATATATGGAAGAACCAAGCATCAAACCAAAGAAGTGGCGTAAGACATGTTTCATTATGTTAAAGGGTTTTGAAGACAGAGACTGAAGTACGTGATCAGCTTCATCAAGCTCTGAAGCAGAAATGCCATCAAAATCCTGCTTTAACGAATTTCATTTGTCAATGTGGCTTTGTCACCCACAGCAAGGCTGGGCTAGTATCACACTTAAGAAAGCACAAATGAAATATGTCTTTCCCTTAACTGATTTACTCCACAATAGCCCCTGCTACCATGCATAAGTGTAAAACAAAAGGCACCATCCAATGCTGACCTCATTTATCATTCACTTTAGGAGAGTCTACCATATGAGAGAATATGATATATAAGATGAAATTATGACCTTAGATTTCAGGTGGAACTCCCATATACAATTTTGAATGTAACCCTCTACCTTCAGTAGCTCTTGAGCCTTCTATTGGGTGATATATACTAAAAAAAGAACAAATGTTACCAACACTCCCATGTTACTTTTCCTCATAGTTGCCATCCAGACTGATGTACTTGTCCCATTGGTGCCTGCATGTACCAATATTTTCCTTGAAGAATGTAGGCTGAAGAGACTGGAGCCACCCTTGTATATCTGCAGCAACAGTGTCTTCTGTGTCAGAGGAATGTTGTTTGAGGGACTGAGGAGCTGCTTAATTCCCACTTTTTATCACCTTCTCTGCCACTGATATTATTAGCATTCTCACCTCACTTATCATTACCATTTTCAATGTAATCCTCTCAAGACTGTTATAGAGTGATATTTAGTAAAAAAAAATGTTACCAGTACTACTATGCTACTTTTTCTCCATAGCAGCCATTAAAATTGTTGCACTGGTGTGTGTGTATATAAATACCTTTATTGAAGAATGTAGCATGAAGAGTCTGGAGCCACCCTTGCATCTCTGCAGCAACAGTGTCATCTGTGTGCAATGGCTTCTCGGAGAAATGTTGTTTGTGGCCCTCAATGGATAATAGTCTTGACTTTGCTCCTTCAGATTATATGATGGATGCAATCTGGACACACTTTTATTATTAGAAAAATATTAGAAAAATATGTGTCCTCAGGCATGATTCAAACCTATGGGAAACTATCATTAGATCTGACATGCCTTAGACCACTTGTCCACATAGGACCTCCTGATCAAATAGTCGAAATAATTCTTTTGAACACATATCTTTCTGTTTCTTAAAATATAGATATCTGCTCTTAATCTTTAATCCATTTCTTAAAATATATATATATATATATATAACACACACACAATATTAAGACCATTCTGGTTATTACAAGAAGTATAGTATACCCTCTTGTTGCTTTGCCTTTACAGCTTTCACAGTGTTTCTGGTTGATTTATGTCTCTTTCTAACTTACTTTTCAGACATTCCTAGTCACTTTATTACTGAAGCTTAATTTATATTTCAATCATTTAAAATCATTTTGATATTTTTTCACCTTAGCAATTGCTGTGATCCCTTGGATTGCATATATAAATCTGTTTGATTTTTGACATAGGATTTAGTTCTCCATTTTGTGATCATTCAAAACAGAAATCACTCTGAAGAAAATTTTAAGTAATGCTTGCAATTTCATAAAATGCCTCAGCTGAATTTAGCGGTGTGATCTACGTTATAATGAGAAAAGAAGACCTAGCAAACTTAACACACACAAGACAATAGGTAAAGAGCGAAACAGCAAGTAACCTGTCTAAATGAGGTTATGTTTAATGAATAGCATAAACAAAAACAAAAAATAATAGAAAAGGGTAACAAAAATTATTTCATGCAACAAAAGAAAGAAATTGTGGAGAGCCTATATTGCCTTATCTCCTGAAAGGACTTGGCACATAGATGTTGATGAAGATCTATGAATATCGAATGAGGAAAATTCATAAACATTGTTTTAAAAATTTTATATTTAATAATGGAGTTATATCTTGTTTTTAGCTTTTATTTATTAAAATAGTGTTACAATTATTTATTATTCAATTAGTGTCACAATTTCCTTTCTAAAAAAATATTCAATGTTTCTGAACAAGGATCATATATAAAACTTGGTTGAAGTCATGCCAAGCATCTTAAAAATACAGTGATTGATTGATATATATGTGTGTGTATGTATAAATTTACATAGTCCATCTGTAGAAGGACTATGAATAAAGACAAAAGGAAAACTTATCTTAGCCAACATGTTTCATCCTCTGATGGACTTTATCAAGACAAATGCAAGGATTTTATATTGCAATAAGTATTTACCTACAGAAGTAACAATGTTAGTTTTTCAGAATTTTTAAATTTAAGAACATTCATAAATATACATCAAGCTAAGTGAGAGTCAAGCCAAACTATGGAAGATGCTAAGTGATGTAATTTAATGCCTAATAAACAAAAATGAGTAAATATTATTAAATCTTTTTTACTTATATTTGAATTATTACATATAGTTTTATCAGTCTCCTTATTAAAAAAAATAACTTTAACATATTTGTATCATATTTTTAAAAGAATAACACACTATTTCTTTAGTAACTAAAGATTTAGGTTTTCTTATTTTAATATTCTGATGAATCTTAAAATTCTTAAGTTAATGATTAAGCTCATAGTAAGTTCTATGACAATAAAATATCTGAAAATATTCCACTATCACCTCGTTAAATATTTGAGCATTACAATTTTAACAAAATATGCAATAACGATCATAAATATGAATACTGGTCATTATCTTAAGAAGTGAGGGGGTACAAATAAAAAGATTTGAAATTAACAACTTTTTCCATTTCACTGAAACAACTGTTAAACTCTTCTATCTTCCCTTCTTTCTTTCTTTCGTTCATTTTCTCATTGGAACCAAGTAGTCTTTTTTTTCACCCTTCATCCATGCGATCAAAATGGAATAGTCCATTATTTATGAGGTATTGACAGGACATAATGGTTGTGCAAACTAATGAAGTGAGAGACAAGCACAATTATAATAGGATTCCATGTTATTCAAATTAATGTCATTCAAATCAAAATAAATATTGAATGAAGTTGAGAACAAAGAAGATTAAAGAAAATTCATTCTGGTCGATCAAATGTCAAGTGCATAAATTTAGATAAATTTGAGTTTAATATTTTTCCCATTGACTGCATAGTTTTCTTTCATCGTTTACATATTAAATATATATCATATCTATTCTGTAATATAAAGCACAATGTAATTTTAAATATGTATTGAACATGCATTGTGACTTCCCCTTCTTCATAATGAAATATTCCATTGTTAACATGAGGCATTACCCAACACTAATAAGCAAATTTCTACAACAATGGAATATCTCATAATTTGGGGAGATCAGGTTGCTAATATATTTATGTTTCCTTCTGTTCCATGTTAGCTTTCACTTTTAATATTTACAAAGCCGACTTCTCTTATGTGCAAAAATAGAGTCTATGATATAGATAAAAGTCCTAAATTACTTATGCCGGAAAAATAACCAATTTTTTTCTAGCTTCTCTAAAATAAATCTCTTGATTTGTAAATGATTTAAAAAAAAAAATAACAAAATTGAAATTTCCACTCATACACTATTAAAATTGTTCTGGTAAGTATACAGAATTTGATAAAAATATGAATTACATTTGTTTGGTCTTATTTTTGTTTGGTATGTGTGTGTGTGTCTGTGTGTATTTTAATATATCAAATTCATGAATGGTTTGACTTTTATATAAAAATTATATCATTTTGTTTTTATATAATTAAAATAAACCTCTTCCAGCTGTCTGTTTTTTGTCTCTCAGTCATACAGTGTTTTTGCTTGATTTGATTATTTGAAAATTTCAGATATAATTTCAGTTTCTTTTTTTTTTTTTTATGTGTTTTTTTTTTTTTTTTTTTTTTTTGTGGAAGGTCCAAATACTTTTCAGATATCATTTATATTTCTTTGTTTAATCTCTTCTTTTTTTGTGTGAAGAGGGGTTCTCTGAATGGTTTTCATGTGTCATTTTTTTTTTCTTTTTTGTTTGTTTTTTGTGTTTTTGTTTTTCAGGGGAAGGGTTCTTGGAAGGTTCAGATATGATTTATATTAACTTTTTTTTTTCCCTGGAATTTTCTGAATGTTCTAAATTTCTTTTATGTTTTATTTTATTTTAGTCAATTATTAACAAACATTGAAATCCATTACAATAAAATTAGCTCATTATTTTAAATACAGGTATCCCCCACTTTACAAAAGTTTACTTTACATCACTTCTATTTTATGAATATAGGGGTCCAGGGATAATATGCCCCAGCCCTGATTATATATTCTGAAAACATTCTGTAAATCTTGCTCTATTGGCAAGGCTCAGAATAGTGATTTTCCAAGTGTAGCTTAGATGTGGCACAAGGCCAAAAGTAGGGGGCACCCAGTGAGGATTGAACTCACTACTCAGTTGTAATTGTTTTAGCGAGACAAACTTGTTAACCATTACACTGCCTCGAGGTGCCCTGCAAGGCTCAGAATATGCTATCTCCTGCAGAGAAGTAAAACCCTCTCAAAAGAACTGCCTTCTAGGTGGATACTTGTA